CGGAGGGCGCGACCAAGGGCCGACGCTGTGGGGAAGCGCGCGAAGCCTCGCGCCCCGGAAGAGCGAATGGGTGAGGCCTGCGGACCTTTCTTGTTACATTAATTATTTATTGGTATTATGATTAGATCTCTCAAGATGATGCGATATGGAAAAGGGAAAAAAGTTGAATTGGAATGAAAAGTTTTCAATGTGACCATTATTATCATTGGCATAGTTTAGAGTTCCTATCAACACACTTCATAGCTTTCTTTTACCGTAGTGTTCTAATGATAGTGGTTAAAGCCTTAGAGTTTTCTCTACCTAACTGGAATACGAGTTATGTTTTACACCATAATTTGCTAAACCTTTTTAGTAAACCTTGAAATACTTTTTTTGGAAGTTTCGTCCTTACGAAGACGCCTATTCCAACACATGGTCTTTCAATCTATTAAATTACGTATTTGATATTCTGAACAATTTAGCTGCGCGAATATGTTTTGTAATGTTGAAAAATGCTTGGCAATATTAGACTGTTTCCCACACAATGCAACGACATTTTGGAGGTAGGTACTCGTAACTAACGTACAGTTCCGAGCCTGATTGGTCCAAGTTGTATTCCATTGTGGTAACATTTTCACATTATAACAATGATACACAAAGTGCGGAATTTTCGCACGACTCTAACAAGTGAAACATATTCCACTAAGTGCAGCACACAGCGTACATGTTATAGGCGAGAGCGACCACCTGGGTTGCTGCGAGGCGAGTGCACCTTGACCGGCTCAGCTCAAACGGTCGCAGGTTCGAGTCCCGTCGCGACTATGAATGTTTGCGTGTGTGTTGTGGCACGGAGGAATCCTACCATGTATCCCTTTCCAACTCTCATTGTTCCCTCCCCGGTGGGTGCGAGGGCACGGGCCATTTGTGCCCAAGAACGCATTACATCCTCGCTGTGGGTTCCAATTCCGCACAAGGGATGGACGAAATGAGAGAGCGCATGGTGAGGCTTCCATATCCACAATGTGTTACCTCTCAAATCCCCTTATATCCTCATACTTATATACTTAAGTATGGTCAGAACCGTCTCCACGCAGCCAAGACGGATCTACAATGTGTCTTGGCTAAAAATTACCATTCAGCTGATTGAGATGGGTCTACGTGCCACCTCTGGCGGTTTGGGGAACCTGCGGAGAACGACAGAATAGGTGGATGGGTAGACGAAAGGATCGAAAGTTTATAAAGCGACCCAAACAATTCAAAAGAGATACAGGAGCAAATATGCTGTAGATATTTCGTGAAGTCACAAGAATAACAAGTTAATAAACGGTCACGAGTAAAATAGCTTGTTTTACTTGTGACTAGGCTCAAGGCTTTCGGTGATTATCTACCGCGCATTGGCGTAAGACTCTGATCTACAAAAAACAACAAGAAAAATTATATAATGGAATTAGTGTTATCTCAAATAAAATATTTTACAAGTTTTATAAATTTGTATACGAACCATTTTATTACTATCTCTAAAGACAGAATAAAATTACAATGTAGATGGATTTCGTGGTCATGTGATGACGCCAGCGCCATACCCTAGGGATAAGCAAATCAGAAGCTTCGGTATTTGCACATTGTTGTCACTTAAAACTAGGGAACAATTGTTATGAGCAAACAAATGTTACGAACAAACTTGTTAAGAGTCTCTCAACATTCCCTTCTTCTGTTTGCCTAGTTAATGTTGAGAGCACGTGCTAGAGCGCACAATATGCTGCAACGACGCTGCCCTTCACACCCAAATCTTAACTACATTCTAATTTTATTTGTACTATAATACTAATACATGCACTCGTGTGTAAATGTCTGAATAAAGTGAACTAAAGTTTGCTCTTAACGTTCTGTAACAGCACATTTAACTACCAAAGTTAATTGAACCTCCAACAAGATATCGAAACTGTACAGTGTACTAAGATTCGTACGTAGATTCAATCTACAGAGACTGCAGAAAAACGACCTATGTACTCAAACTAAAAAATGCAACCACTCTGTCAGCATTTACGTTTCTCTATCTGTCTTGCCGTTGAATTTTAAACGTCTGGGCTTATGCAACATTCCAATCGAAGGTCTAATAGGAAACCACATCTAATAGTAACCTTTCCATTTTTAGTCAGTAAAAGCAATTAATTTCAAGCAATTGAATAACAATAGGTCAAATGAATTGCCTTCTTTCAATGTATTGCAAAAGCTCTTCCACCTGTTTGAAGAGAGAGAAAAACGTTTCAGTTGAGCAATCGAATGGTGATGTCGTGCAGCAGTAAAGCATGACGTGGCCTGAATAACCTGCACAGAGCGCCTCCGCTGGCGTGATGGGTTAGGCAGCGTGTGGCAATGTAAGAAACGAACAAAGAAATATTAAATAATACACAAATTCTAACTTACGTAGCATCCAACTGCCTTCAAACACATCCCAAATTACTGTCTGACACCGAATACTACAAAAAATACTAATATTTTCGAACAATTCTACGTGACCTTATTTGAATTTGTTTTTCATTAACACATTTCATTAAGAAAAAATGTCTTCACAATTGTAGTTGTAGAAATACGCCCATAATTTTAATTTTTTTTTATTTTCTTAATATCAGCCATTTCAACAGGCATGAGCCCTGCACCATTCTCTTAAGCCAACATTAGGCTATCTAAGGTCAACATTTAATAAACAAATCTGTACCGTTTTCAAGAAGAAATGGTTTAAAGAAAGTAAAAAATGTGTATGTTTGACACAAATTTCGCACAAAATACTCCTACTTTTGAAAAATGGAACATGACATTAGTTTTAGATATTTTTTAATGAACACATTTTAATACAAAATAAAGTTTATCTTCATCATTGTAGTTACAGGAAGACGAAGAAAAAAAACTTAATTTTTTAATTTTTTTTTCAATTTTCGAAAAATTGGAGTTTTCAACGAACATGAGACCAGCAGCATTCTTTTAAACGTCCTTTACACTATCCAACAACACAATTCATTAAAAACAATAGAGATGTTTTAAAAAAATTGTTTAAACAAAATTAAAAATTACCTATTTCACGCAAAATTACGCGAAAAGTACTCAAATTTTCCAAAAATTTTACATGACCTTATTTCAAAATCTATTATTAAAAAATAATATAATAAAGGGGAAACGTCTATCTTCATAATGATAGTTGTGGGAAGACTCCCAAAAAAATTTATTTTTGGGGGATTTTCAAAAAATCTAAGTTTTTTAACGAATATATGACCTGAACCATACTCATAAAAGTTCTTTACTCTATTCATTGTCAAAATTTCATCAAAACCGATGGAGCAATTTTTTGAAGTTTGGAAAATGTTTCAGGGGCTTCGTGTAACGTAACTCCCAAAATTAATTTCTTTGTCAAATTTAAGATTCCGCGACATCAGCCAGATCGCTTTGTGGTGCCAGGTGAATATAAATTTTAGAGTAAATAGGCTGAACTGTTTAGGTGCTAGCTTTGGCCACAGACACAGACAGACCGACGAACAGATGTTTGGCCTTCAATGGAAGTTTCATGGATCGGTATCATGGATCCACAAAACATTGATTCTGGCTACATCACGTGTACAAAGTTTTTTTCTAAATTTACCAACTGGTTTTGTCACCTTTTTCGTTACCCGTGCCCAGCATCAAGTCTTTCTGCCGAAAATTCTCAACTATTATTATTATTATTATTATTATTATTGTTATTATATAAATATTTGCCGCTCCATTACTTCACTTTCTCTCTACTGCCTAAGCGATAGCGAGAAAGTAAAAATGATCTCTAAGATGTGTTAATCTGACAGAAATTGCTGTATAAATACTATTACTATGAGCGAGAAACCATTACTAAGGGCGAGAAATATGTGCTGTTTTAGAACTAGTAGTTTTTAATTATTTCAATTTTTCAATTTTTTTAATTGTAGGACCGAAATATGAACTTAAGAAAATTATAGAAAACCTCCTCCTACATGGAAATTTTCGTTGGAACATTCCCAGCCCTTTCTAAGAAAACGTTGTTTAAGCGTTACAGTTAATGC